TTAACTCGCAGGCAAACCACTGCGCTAGCTGTTACATATGTAGCATGTTAATTTTGAAGATAAAGTTCATGGTACACAGTGCTCGTCGTATTACTCTAATATAAGCTAGCATTGTTTTGTTAAAAAAAAAATAAGCATCATGCGTCGCAAGCTTAATACAATGTTTCTAGTTTTCACCGACCCAATGGGAAATGTTTCATTAAATCACCATCAAATCGATGTCATATCAATGAGACATTTCAATTGGATCAAAAGTATCATATTGATATTTCGATTTCGAATCAAGATTTTACTTATAAATGAATGTGCACAAAGTTACAACAGTAAAATTGAACAAAATAGTAACAGGAGTGACTACATATCTATTATTCATATCAGTTTATTCAAGACAATTCGAAAATAAGTGGAAATTCAAACAAATGTCAAGTATTTTATTCTTTCCCAGCGCTAATTTCAATACTCGTTTATCGTTAATACTCGATATCGTTGCAATATTAGTTTTTTCGCTGGGAGGTTTATATCGGATTCGATTACCTTATTCATCATAAAATTATCACTCTTATCCTTTTGCTTTTCTTGAGATTGCAAATGTTTGTCAGTCTGATAAGAAGTACCCGCGTTATTTTTTTCAGATTTATCAAAGCTTTCGTTAGATCGTTCTTGTTTACTGAGTTGATCTTTCTTGTTTACTCTTTTGATTACTGATACTCGATTTCTTGTTACAATCTTGTTACAATCATTTTCTTTAATACTTTTTTCAGATTCGTCAAAGCTTTTGTTAGATCTTTTTTGTTTACTGATATGATCTTTCTTGTTTGTAATTACTCTTTTGATTACTCTTTTAATTACTGATGCTCGATTTATTGTTACGTTATTATTTCCTTCAATACTTTCTTCAGGTTCTTCAGATTCGTTCAAAGCTTTCGTCAGATCTTTCTTGGTATGATTGTTGATTGCTTTATTGTTAGTTTCATATTATTTCCAACAATACTTTCTACAAGTTCTTCAAATTCGTCAGAGCTTACTTCTATGTACGTCATGTTTGAGTAGATAATTCTCTAAAAAACTTATCCTGAACATATGTTAAACTTTTTATGGCAAGTTTTGCATTTCATCTTATAATTTGATATATCCAACGCGAAATGTCGCGAAATTGACAAACGTTCTATTTCCTTTTGTTTTTCTTCTATTATTTGGGGATGTTTAAATATATATCAGGTGACTCTCTAAATGAGATTCCTTATATCCACTAGTAATTGCTTTATTACAAATTTTACATTTCGAAGAGTATTTTTTTTCTTCTGTGAAATATTGCCATACCTAGTTGCTTTGGTCAACATCTTCGTTACGAAATATTTTTCATGAACACGATATAAGTGTACCTTTGTATCTATATCTTTGTGACAAACATAATGACAAATATTGCATGTTCTCTTATGTCCTATTCTACAACAATAGTCCAATATCCAATTTTTTTGCTGCGCTGGCATTACATCCGGATGATACTTAAAACGCATTTTATTTTATTTATTTTAAATATCAGATATAATTTTTCATAAATTTTATAATAAATATGAACAAATGCTTAATATCCAATTTCCTATATATATTCATTGTACGTATTTGATTGACTGAAAGAAAATAAAGCTCACATATATTTGTAAATTTACCTTTGTAATTTTTTTTTGTTTTTTCTAGTTTGCATATGTGTATCAGATTGACGAGAAGATATACCCGCGTTATTTTCTTTAGCTGTTGTTTTACTGTTTTGTTATTTTCCCCAATATTTTCTTGAGGTTTCTCTTTTATACCATGTTTGAGTAAGTGGCTTGCTAAAGAATCTACTCTAAATATGAGGATTTTTTAATGGCAAATTTTGCATTTCATCTTATGATTTGGTGTGTCCAACACAAAATGTCGCGAAACTGATAAGCATTTTACTTCTTTTTGTTTTTGTTCTACTATTTTCGGATGTTTAGATATCAGGTGTTGTTCCAATTTCTGTTCATCAATATATCCACCCATAAGCACATTTTTACAAAGCTTACATTTTGGAGAATATTTTTTTTCTGTGAAATATTCCCATACCAAATTGCTTCGGTTAACGTCTTCGTCGTGAAATATTTTATGTTCACGATATAAATGAACTTTTGTCAACATAACATTACTCAAAACATTATGACAAATGTTGCATTCTATTTTCCGATATTCGCTTTTAGTACGTATACACAATGTTGCCATATCTAATTTTCGAGGTTATTCTTCTGCTGTGGTATTATGTTCTTACAAAACCTTAAAATATTTTAAATCAAATAAATTTTTTATAAATTTTATGATAAATATTAAAAAGTCCCAATTTCTTATGTGTGTGTGTGCATGTGTATGTTTATTGTGTATACACATATTTCACTAATTGAAAGAAAATAAATCACAAATATTTGTAATTTCACTTTTCTAAATCTTCTTGATCTTCTTCAGCTTGCAAATGTATATTGGACTCATGAGAAGATATATTCGAATAATTATTTTCTTCAATTACTGATTGATTTGCTATATATATGTTCCTCTTATTGTTATTTTTTGATCTAGTACTTCTTTCCAATATATCATCAGGTTTTGTTTTTGTATCATGTTTGAGTAAGTGGCTCGTTAAGATATTTACTCTAAATATGTTGAACTTTTTATAACAAATCTTGCATTTCATTTTATGATTTGATGCGTCTAATACAAAATGTTTCGATACCGACGTACGTCTTATTTTTTGTAGTATTTCTTGTAC